ATATGTTCAATTTTCACATTATGAGTTTAAGTTGTGTTCTCCCTGTGACTGGTAGAACCAAGGAACTTGTCCTGGGTTTAGTAGCCACATGGATATCCTCCTTTGTGTAGAACCTGTCATTCCTTTTTGCCATTTTATTTTGGGTTGTCTACCTCTCTCCTGTTACTTTTAACCACTTTTCGAACACTGGATATTAGACCAACCAGCCTCGGGGCCCTGCCCACTCTCCACCTTATAAACATACCTATAATGGACTGAGGGGGTTTATATGGACCACCTTCATGGACTATCTCTTTGTAAGGTAACTATTATCTTTATTTTCATTTTTTAAAAAAAGTAGCAGCTCAGAGAAGCTAAGAAGTCAGTCCAAGGTAATACAGTTAGTCAGCAGCAAAGCAAGGACTGGTCTGTTGACTAAATTATCAACGACCCCCTTTACATCTCATATCTCCTTTTCCTGCCTTACTTATATACTTGTCACTATCTAACAAACTGTGTAATTTTACTTAGTTATTCTGTTTATTATCATTCTTCACTACTACAGTCTGTTTTGCCCACCAACATATTCCCAGTGCCTGTATAGTGTCTGGTACATAGTAGTTCATGACTTTTTGAATAAATGAATGAATGAACACTCACTAATTCTAATATATGGACATGCCAAGATATCAGCATTTACTTCCTTATCTCCTTTGGAACTGCACTTTCTAAGCTTTGTTCTTTTCTCTAGGTTTCCCTGTCTCCTTCCAGTCTCGGGCTCAGCTCTGTCATTTCCTTACCATGTGCATCTTCACATGCTCTGCCCAGCATGCAGCAGTGAACATGGGCCAGGTCAGGACAACTGAAAATCTGGGTCTCTGAGAGAAAGCTTCTGGGCTAGGGGACACTTGAGGGAGAGAGCTGGGGTCTAGGGTCCTGAATCAGAGTTTCTGAGTGACTCCAGATTCTTCCTCCCCCAGTTCGACTGGTATGCCTGGGTCCCTAATGCCCCAGGCTCAATGCGGATGCCCCCACCCACCATCAAGGAAGATGTCACAATGGACACAGTGATGGGCTCACTGCCTAGTTTCTGGCAGACCAGTCTTCAAGTGATTGCCACGTCGCTCATTAGCCAGCCCCCGCCAGACATGGTGAGAGGGGACCTCTGGCACTCTGAGGGGACTGATGGCTGACAAGGAGACTTTAGGGTGAGGGACTGGAGTTTGAGTTCCTTTTTCTTAGAACTAGAAGATGATTGATCCTTTCTTTCTGCTCCAGGTACCACTGGGGCATCACCAAGAAGAGTATTTCTCAGACCCTGAGCCCAAGGCTGTTTTAAGGCAGTTTCAGGCTGATCTGGACAACCTGGAAAAGGAAATCGTGGCCCGGAATGAGCAGCTAGACCTTCCCTATGAATACCTGAAGCCCAGCCTCATAGAGAACAGTATTGCTATCTGAGCCCAAATTGTTCATCGTTCAAATACTTGAGGCCCCCACCATGGTTAACACTCCCCCCACTCTTTTCATGGGTCTGAGTTGCTATGGTTCTGTTTTTTCCTGTTGGGTTCCCTACCTAAATATCTCACCTGCATGAGGCATTGTCCTTCCTTCCAGTTCCCTAATAGGATGATCTTTAACTTGAAACCAACCTTAGAGAAATCAACTATCTACTCATGTAATGTTTTCTTTTCTCTGAAAATTTTGCCTTCTCCATTTGTCAATAAATCATTATATAATGACATTATATTATCATTGATATAAGTGATTTAAAGATGTTTTTAATGGTGTACGTAATTTTTAATGCAGTGGGAGATAGAAGTTAATTCCATTCCTTTTTTTCTGATCTGAATAATCAGTTATCACAGCATGGTTCATTGAAAAGCCCATCCTCTCTAAAAATCTATAATGCTGACATAAAGTTGCCATCTGTGAATGAATTAGTTCTTAGCTGTCCAGTATTTATACCACACTAACATAATTGCCATGGCTTTATACTTAATGTATAATGCCTTTTACTGACATATTCATCCAATTTGTTCTTTAGAGGTACTTTAGCTTTCCTTGGGCTTCTGGCTTTCTATATAAACTAGAGGCCTGGTGCACAAAATTCATGCACGGGCGCGGTCCCTAGGTCTGGCCGGCAATCGAAGGACGAGCGTCTGGCATGGAAGGGCCGGCCCCAGCTGACCTCTGGGCCCTGAGAAGCACCTGGGCCCCCGGGCCCTCATGCACCCCCCTCCACCTGAGTCCCCATGCAGAGATGTAGTGAGCACGACCAGGTGCCGTGGTGTGGAGTATATGGGCCTCTGGGCCACCCAGCAGCGCCACTGAAGCTGGGCCGGCAGCACATTCTCTCCCAGCCGGCCTCGCAGACTGGCCACTGTGGGAACCCCTGGGGAGCCCAACTATCTCCTATGGTCCCAGCGGCTGCAGCCCCGCCATCTTCCGCACCGCCCCCTGGTGGTCAGCGCACGTCAAACTCCCAGTCGAACAATTTGCATATTAGGCTTTTATTATATAGGACTAGAGGCCTGGTGCACAACAATTTGTGCACTGGGGTGGGGGTCCCTCATCCTGGCCTGTGCCCTCTCGCAGTCTGGGACCCCTTGGGGGATGACCACCTGCTGGCTTAGGCCCACTCCCGGGGTATTGGGCCTAAGCTGGCAGACATCCCTCTGGCAGCCCGGGAGCCCTCGGGGGATGTCCACTTGCCAGTGGGGAGCGGGTCTAAGCTGCAATCAGACATCCTTAGCGCTGCTGAGGATGTGAGAGAGGCTCTCACCGCTACCGCTATACTGGCTTGTGGCTGAGCAGAGCTCCACCTGTGGGAGTGCACTGACCACCAGGGGGCAACTCCTGCATTGAGCATCTGCCCCCTGGTGGTCAGTGTGTTTCATAATGACCAGTCATTCCCAGTCGTTCTGCTGTTGGGTCAATTTGCATATTACCCTTTTATTATATAGGAGTGCCTGGCCAGCCTGGGTGAGGGGCTGATGGCTGTTTGCAGGCTGGCCACAGCCCCTTCAGGGTAGGAGTTCCCCCTGGGGTGCCTGGCCAGCCTGGGTGAGGGGCTGAGGGCCATTTTCAGGCTGGCCACACCCCCTTCAGGGTGGGGGGTGGTCCTGCTGGGGTGCCTGGCCAGTCTGGGTGAGTGGCTTATGGCAGTTTGCAGGCTGGCCACACCCCCCAGCGGTAACGCTCACCCCATGAGGGTGTGGCCAGTCTGGGTGAGGAGCTAATGGCTGTTTTCTGGCTGGTGACAGTTCCTTCAGGGTGGGGGTCCCCCCTGGGGTGCCTGGCCAGCCTTGGTGAGGGTCTTATGGCTGTTTTCAGGCTGGCCATG